CTCTAGTTCTTCTGTTCAGATTTTAGTATTATCGTCACCTGCTCTCAATTTAAAAAAGAGTAGTTCTGCCTACAGTATATTTTTCAGTCACATCCATGAATTCCAATGGAGACAGCAGTATGTGGGTGGATATTCAGTTCTGAGATTTGATTCAAAGACACTTTGTGAAATCATAGGATTCATTTGGGCTACAGAGGTTGCCCATCATTCACTTGAACACATCCAGCGAAGAGGAACCCTCATTACTACCAGTGGTGGGATTCAATTTTTTTTTACTACTGGTTCTGTGGTTGCGGCTTGGTGGGCATGGCAGGGGAAGGATACTGTAAAATCTCAATTCCCACCCCACTCCAGGGGAAGGATACTGCAAAATCCTCATTCCCTCCCAGATCAGCTGGGACTCAGGAGGCAGAAAATAGATGGTGGCAGGGCCAGTCAGAGGTGGTATTTGCCGGTTCTCTGAACTACTCAAAATTTCCACTACCGGTTCTTGAGAACTGGTCAGAACCTGCTGAATACAACCTACCCTGGGTAAATGATGACACTATTGAACTGATTTCACTGTGAGGATACTTTTTCTAATTTCCAGTCATGTTTTCTCAAGACTAAATCCATCTTCTTCAATCCTTGCCCACATGAATTCATTTCTAGTCCCTGATCATCACGTTACTCTTCTCTGAACCAGTTGCAGTTTGTCTAAATTCTTAAAATACTTGGGCTATAGTCCCACCAAAATAAAATAAATAGAATAAACGAAGCAACTACCTCAATGCTTTGCTGCAATCAAGATATACTGTATCTAGAGCATTTTCTTTATCTAGGAAGGAAGTTACTTAATTTTTAGGAAAAAAATGAGATGTTTGGCAACACTTTTTTAAAAAAAAATGAAAGCTCATTTTTCATAATTATTGCATTATTTTCAAGGTGGTTTCAGACTGATCTGTTTACGATCTATTCTAGAATTTCCTCATCAGTGCTAGACTTCATTTTATTTCCCCTCTTTTTGAATTTAAAGACCACATTTGTTCTCCTCCTTCATCTGGATATCATCAGTTTTCCAGGATTCCATCCTTCCATTCTTCAAGGATAATTCATAAGTGTTTGGCCAGATCATCAGGAACTTTTCAGTGAGAAGGGTAGCAAACAAATTTAATAAAATAAATAAAAAAATAATGTGTAATTTATTTGGTCCTGAAAATGTAACTGCACTAAACATAAGCAGATATTCTCTTGACCATGTTTCTGTCAGCCATAAGCTTCAATCTTGCTGTTCATTCACCACTTCACAATGTACGTGTTAAAGACAGTATTTCTTTTTTCTTGCGATAGGATTTGATTTTGCTTTCTTCTTGGAGCACCGGCTTTCCTCCCGCTTTTATTTTCAACATATCTAAGACATTTTATTGCTATTCTTAACATTATTCACTAACCTAAGCTTATTCCAATCTACTGCCTTCCTGACCTCAGTTCTACAGTTTCAGGTTGTTTGTACTTGTTCTTGGTAATTTGGCTGTCTGCCCATTTCCTATATGCATTTTTGGGATTTTGTTTTGTTTTCAGTTCTTTGATGGAATCCCATTGTGTTTCCAAATTCAATTCTAAATTGAAGTGACAAGTCAATTACAATTGTCTAATCTAATTAGGCATTTCAAACTGATTATATTCAGACCAATCCAAATGCCTTTTGTGCAGGCCCACTATCACATTATATTTATTTGCACATTCAAACCAGTCTGAATATTCAAAATGTATAGGTCAGTTTCCTAAATCAAATAATTGTTTTAATCAGATGAATTTGATTATATAAACAGACTCAACAATGTGAATGATTTTAATTGTGTAAAACCAGGCTATATGTGGCTAAGATTACCATGGAGTTCCATGTTTTGCTTGCTTTTGTTTTGTATGGTTTGGTCTGTTTTGGTTTGTTTTGGGATTCTCTTCTGGGTTTATTTTATTTTATTTGTTATAATGGCTTCTTAGCTGTAATACTGCCCAGAGTCACTTTGGTGCTGGGCCGCTATAAATTAAATAAATAAAAAATACATTTGTACAAGACTAATAATATAAATGTTCAATGTTACATTATTCTAATTTTCTGCTCTGCCAGATTCAATAATATATATGTTAGATGCCCAAAATGTGGTCATGAAAAAGACTATGGATGCTTGTCCTACTTCTTCCATCCACCCCATCTCAACAGAAGTTAGGACCACACAACGTTTATCAACCTAGTCTTGAACTTTGGAACAAACTATATTCTGAGAAGTTCACCATTTGAGATTAATGCATGGTGAAGTTATAGCCTGCATCTATTCACTGATAAGGCCACATTTATTACAGTAAAGACAACAAGGGTTGTTTTTTTTTTTTGATAACTGCATTAATATAACAATGCCATTTCTGAAGAAAAAATATAATTGCCCTTCACAACCTACTTTTTGCCTGGGAGTAAAGGCAAGGGTTAAAATTTTCCATCAAAAAAGTTCATATTCCTCATCCCCTGAGGAATTTGCTCCCCTTCTGGCAGTCCAAAAGACATTTATAATTCATTATGAACAGTGGAATGTAGCTGTTTGGTTGTATAAATAACATGCCAATGGGGATCTGGAAAGGTGTTCTGAGGTCTTAAGGCTAGTAACCTTTGGCTGTTCTCATTCATGTTCTCAAGAAATTTCAGCCAGAATATTCTGATCTTTACTCTGTAATGGTGACTTTTCTGATATGTGGGAAACAGTGAATGATGATTTAATAAATAAACAATTCCTTCCTCTACTTTAAATTTAATACTATTAAAATAAATAAATAAATAGCTTTATGTAAATCACTTTACGTGAATATCAGGCATATGACTGTGTATTGTATTATATACATACATATACATACACATACATACACACACACACACACACACACACACACACACACACACACATTCATTCTTAGTCATTCCTAGTCTCATCTCGGTTCCTCATGGTAACATTGGAAGCCATTTATCTGCTTCTCTTCCTGTATATGAATTGCAAGTAACCATATTGAAATACCCATAATTCAATGAAATGTCTATAACATTAGCCTGGTGATTTTTCATATAGGGACAGTTTCAGGCAAACTGATTTCTACAAGGAAATAGTATATTAAAATAATTGCTGAATTGCCTAATTCAGAAAAGTCTGTTATTCAACCTAGAAAGGCTAATTCTGAAATATTGGAACCATTATGTAATATGAGAATATTATGGAGAATCATAGGTATGAGTTTGCATCAGAAATGTTCATTCAAAAATTAGAACATCACGTGGATAATTTTCTAGAAACATTTACTAACTTCCTGTGCTGGATTTTTATCACGAGAAATAATTCAGTTGTGCATCTCATCTCCACATGATTCATTACAGTGGTAGGTTTTTAGATGGAAAGTCTAACATCGGCTCCAATTCAAACCAGCCAGGCTTCTGCATGTGATTTTGTGCTCAGAGAAGCTCATTAGTGGCAGAGTTATTTTGCAATTAAGGATCCAATGCATGGCAGGCTGAGGAACAAAACTGATGGCTACCCTATAATTTCAACATTTTGCTGTTTGGTTTACATTTCTACAATTGAATCCAGATATGACAGGGCTGCCACCATCCTTTATGATCTGGCTGGAATCTCTTTGTATTTCAGTACATCTAGAAGATAGGAACTAAGAAATGTTACTACAGATAGTTAGCTTTCTCCAACTTGGTACATTTCATTGTGTGAGTAAACTGGAGATGCCAGATTCCTGAGAGGCATAGCATACTCTGGGAGAGTCTTAGTACTAGTCATTACTATCCCTGCATATATAGACATTACTAAATTGAGACGGCTGGATTATGCCATGTCTATAGTTTCAATTAACTAAATAGAATTAATGTGCGTTTTCCTGGCTGTAGAACCAGGGAAAAAACCCCTATTGCTTCTTCCTATTTTTCAAAAGATGAGTTGTTACTTGAATTCTGAAGTGTTAACAAGCAAAAAACATAAAAGATTTGTGAATGAAAAACCAAGTGAAAGTTTAATTCACAAGCAGCAAAGGATTCCAATACACTGAAGGACACAAGGTTAGGAAAGGTTGATAGACCCCCAGCAAATTTTCTACAGGATTCATTTCATTCTCATGACCTATATTTCTTTATTCGGCATTTGTTCTGCAGGGCTAAATATCAAGAGGCATAGATGACAATCTTGGTATTACAAGAAACATGGTCGTTGCTATTTATAGATCCAGTGCAGCAGCAGGTGAACTTTCTGCTTTTGAAAAGCCACAGAGATAAAAATCATTTCCAAGCTACAGATCCCATCTAGGAACCGTGAAGGACTCTCTCGAGCTGAGAACCCAGAATAGAATTTTGCAAGGATCTGGCTGAGAAAGAGGTAAAGGAAAGAGTTAAGATAAAGAGTAACTGAAATCTTTCACTCTTACATGCACATAAACAATAAATTTGATCCTTATATGAGATAAGGAGACTTACAGATGTAATCCATATGCCTTCCAATATCTGTTCATGCTATTATACTTCAAAAAAAATGAAGCAAAGTATTTAGATCTGATTGCCTTTAGATTTTAAAAAAATGAGCCTTATCTTTCTTGACAGTAAACTAGGGTAGTAGGACTATAATTTATCTTGATAAATGAGATTTATCACAAGATTTGGCCATGTGATTCAAAAAGGAAGCACTAGATCTGTTTTTAAAATGACAACAGAGATCGGAGCATTGTTTTATAAATTTATATAACTGGCAAATGGTGTAGATAAATATGCTCTCAGGACTTTATGATTTTTAATCATATCCCAGGATAGGGAGTAGCCTTCTATTAGTTCTATATAAAATGATGTACTTAATTTGCATTTTTCATTTTTTGCCTCAAACAACATGCACCAACGTAAGTGCATTAGTGGTCCTGGGTTGTTATCAGGTCTAAGACGGATTCTTGAAGCTTGCATTCAGGTTGATATCTAATGTTCTCCAACTGACTTAAGTGGCAGCTTATCCTACCTTGTTCTTCATCTGATTTCCCAGATATCATCATTCCGGAACTGCAAATGTAACAGAAACGTCATGCATTAGTATCTAAGATTAGGATCCATTCACATCCCTTTATACAATGTGGGTCTTTTGCCCTCTTGGCAATATTAATGACGGAACAAGCTTGTCTTTAATAAAGATTTAAAAAACTAGAAAAATACAGAAGCTATTAGGCAGAAAGATGCCATAAGGTTTAGGAGCTCATTTGGAGATGCTTACTTCTCAAACGGGGGTTAAAGGGAAAAGATCTGAAAGAAGAAATCACATGCTGGTAATATATTGGAAATATTGACCTGGGCTAGAGCTGTTATAAATGAAAGCCAGTCAACCGGCAGATAGGAGTTTCTTTGCCCTTTATAGAATGTTAGAGAAATCAATTGCATAATTAGACTTAAAAGAGATCCTATTAGTGAAACACTTGTCTGTGGAGTTCCTTATACTGGAAATTTGATCAGATGCAAGATGTTATTTCATTATTCTGTCTCCCAAAAGAAGACATGCACATACTTTATCTTAGCTGGGAAATATTATTGAATATTGCTGTGTATACATGTATGTATTTGTATATAGAGGCTGAGGTTTCAACTGTAGAGAAACCTGATACAAAAGCAGTAACACAGTTAACACATTGCCAAACAGATACCTTCAAAACGTACAAAGAAACCCAGCTAGCATCTTTCTCTGATATTCTCCTCTGCTAAATGGGATTTCAATATTGTAGAAGAGAATATCTGTAGCTCAGGGTTGAACTGTGGAATTAAACTGTTCTTGTTGTTCTCTGGTATTAAGACAATTCATTACCCAACTAGGTAACATTACCAGTGCTTGATGATGTTATCTAATTTGGTAATAAAATATCTGCAAGCAAACAACCAGGCTCAGAGAGCATTAAGAAGTCAATAAATGGAATTTCCTGACACTATATTCTACTATATTCTAGTTGAAGACCATAAACCAAGCTGGTATGACAGCAACTTAACTTAACTTCTGTTAAGTTACTGCAAACCACATTTTCATTTTCTTTTTCTTAGAATGATGGATTATGAATAAAGTCCCTGGAGTATATCCAAATTGGTCTCTGTTTGTACAGCAGCAGTAATACCAATTTGGGGATGAGTTGAATGAGATGGATGATATGGTTACTGAAAGCAATTTAGGTGATGGAAACCAAAGCAGATGGGGGAGGAGGAGAAACAAGACATCTTGTGCCAATCCTATCAGCAGGAATGGGCAATCTGGTATCCTACAGATTCTATGAATTACAACTCACTTTAATCTTGGCAAATGCTAAGGCTTGCAAGTGTTATAGTTCCAAAAATCTGGATGAACCAGATTGCCCAAATCTGACTGCATGGCATTTAATATGTCAATTAATACTTGGAGTCATAGTCTTTAGAGAAAGTAACTCACACTCTCCCATCCACCTTTTGTAAAAACAATAATTCCAAGTGCCACCTATATTAAAAGTCAGTTATGATGGGAAAGGGCAAATCTCCAAATAGAGTGCTCAGGGCTCTGCTTCCCACTGTTTGTACCTACACAAAGCCACCAGATGAAGTAGCATCATTTGTAGTTGATATCCAGTTATATATTTCCATTCTAATGTGGATAGGAGATACAGATGATGTCTTAATCTAGTGCCTGGAAACAATTGGTGGAAATAGGCATACACTGAATCCAGCAAATGGCTATGGACCCCAAAACCAGATAAATCTAAAACTAGGTTTCACTGGAAGAACTTGGTTCAGAATCTAGTGGTCCTCCTGAAACCAAGGTTCCTGCTTGAATAGCAAGTGAAATTCATGACCTGGGGCGGGGGCTTTGTACAATTGCATCTTGTACATCAGTTGCAGACTGGACTCCCTTGCAGAGCAAGTTACAACTGTACTGTTCAGGGTTGGGTTCCTGCCAGCATTACTACTGGTTCCATGCCCGTGCGCATGTGCATTTGCATTTAAAAAGGTCTGCACATGCGCACACCATTAATAAAGGAAAAATACATTTTTTCAATGAAGATTGTTCTGCGCATGTGCAGAACAGAAAATAAAGATGGCGGCGCCCAGGATAGAACCATCACGTGTCCGGCCGAGTTACTACCTGTTTGGCCGAACTGGTCCAAACTGGTAGGAACCCACCTCTGCTATTGCTGTAACTTGCTTTGTTCCTATTGAATACTCTCTGAAAATCGTTGTTAGAGACACACAAAGTTTGTCCAACACCATTATGTACTACAGGAGCTCTACTGGCTGCAAGTTAGTTTCCAAGTTAGTTTTCTATTAGTTAAATTCACATAATATGATATGATCTGACAGAGAGGCCCTATGGAAGAATGTCATTCAAAGGGACCCATATTTGAACTTTTTAGAGAAGTGTACTCTTTTGGAACAGCTTACCCTCCAACTATCTGGACCACATTCTTTTCCTGCTACATTACATGGCTCTTCAGAAAGGCATCTGGAAATAAATGAGGACCATGCTAACGCTGAATTAGATTAAGTCCATCATTATGATTTTTAAGAATCCTAATCTTATTATGTTGACATTGACGAGGCCTCTTGAAGTCTTTGGACATAGAGTAGTGTTAGATTGGGTAATGGATAGGCACACACAGGCTTAATGGTAACAACAGCTCTTTATTCCTGTGAAAACTATTTTATTTCATTTTCATTTTCCTTTTTATACAATCACTTATATACTGTGCAATTAAAAAAGCAATAAACACAACTCATCTTCTATTCCACCATGGAAAACCAACATAACACTTCAATCCTCCATACACCCTTTCTTCTCCCCCTCCAACTTTCATTTCTCCCCTCCAACATTCCCCTCTTCTACTTCCCCTCCCCCTCAAACATTCCTTTCTCCCCTTCCCTCCATCTCACCCTCCTTACATTCCCCTCTCACTCCCTCTTAACTCCTCCCTCTTCTTTCCCTCTACTCCTCACTTCGGTATATTTCTACTATTCATTAATCTATTCAATTTGTATTTTATACTAAAATTGAAAGAAAAGAAAAAAAAAGGAAAATAAAAGGAAAAGAGAAAAAAAAGAAAAAAGAGCAACAGTATACAAGTGCATTCTTATTGTTTTGAAAATTGAAACTATATTTCCCCCCTCCCCCCCTCTCCCCAGTAAACCCCCCTCCCAAGCCCCCTTCCGACGTCCCAGATCCCATACCCG